GTTTGTTAGAAATTAATCCTTAGGCCAAAAAAAAAAAAAAAAAAAAAAGATTTTACCTAAATACAAACTGAGGCTAATACAGCACAACTCTGCCTGTCTCTAAGGGTGACTATTTCATGTTGTGCGCCGCTGGGCATTCACCACCCGATCCCTTACACTGCTCCCCAATCTCCATCCAAAGGCTGGGAGCCTAGTTAAACACATTTTCTTAGAAAGAAGGAAAGGAATTCACCCACAGTGCCACCAGGCAGAGTCATTTTAAACTACTTTCAAGAGCTCAGAAGTAACTTCCTGTTGGGTGTGAAGAGGCCTCAGCTCGGGACTTGGCCCTGGGGGCAGAGCCGCGGCAGCTCTATCCTCTTGGTGCCCCTGCTCCAGAGGGGACAGAAGCCTGCTGCCCCCAGAAATTCCAGCAAGGATTCTGAGGAACATCTTGGGTGGAGAGGTCAAGTGATTCCTTCCGAGACCCTACTGGCAAGGTAGGGTGGAATTATCTCTAAATTCAGACCGCTGGGTCAAGGTGACGCCTGACACCCACCGGAAGGTTCCGTGGGCGCTTCCTGCCCGACCGCAGCCTGTGATTTGAGACAATGACCCATCTTCCTAGCAAAGCCCTGGTTTCCTTAAAATCACCCCAGGTTGGCACTGTCTGGGGAGAAGGACAGGCCAGCCACCTCCAGTAGATAAATATAGTGGAGCTGTTTTTAGATGGCCTGGCAGGCCAGGCTGTCATTAGCTGTGGTGGAGCGGACAGGGCTTCCTCGTCCATTGGGGACTAAGCACTAAAACAGACGGGGCCCAGGGAAGGTGGCCAGGGCCCTGGGTTCGTCAGGCCTCTCAAGCCTCCAGTCTGCCCAGCATCAACGCGGGCCCCGAGGTGCGCTGCTCCTTGCTGGGCCACTTGGGAGAGGCCCATGGAGGCAGGGCTGGAAAGCCTCCCCAGGTGTGCCCGGGCCCCCTGCATGCAGGTGCCAGGCTGAGCACAACGCACGTAGACCTGATGAGGAGATTCTAATATGCCCTCCAGCAAACCCATGAAGCAAGAGGGACATTTCATGGTGCAGATGGGGCTCAGCAAGGTCACAGAGTTCCAAGCTGGGACATGAACTCCAAAACCCCAGCTCTCCTAACACCCTAGGCCTTTCCACCACAGTCAAGTTCAAGTGCTCCCTGCCTCACTCTTGCTTCTGTACCTTTACCCTCTCTCTTCCTCCTGCCTGGAATGCCCTCCGCTCTGCCGGGGCTGGCCGCGTTCAGCTTTCCCTCCAGGCCCCGGACAAGCCACTGCTCTCCCAAGGCTCTGAAGCATCCAGCCCCACCACACTCTTCTCAGCCTCCTCTGCTCTGCGCCAGTTCACTAACTACTGCATTACGTTCCATCGCGAGGGCTTCTATTGCTTCTCCAAGGCATGACTGGTCTCCTCAAGACAGTGATACGCCAGGGCGGCAGGCACCAGATTACAGCCAGGTTTCCATCTCTGCCTCCTTCCCGCCGCCCTGAGTGTCTGACTAGGACCCAGTGTGCAGAGGGTGCTCAGCTGGTCAACGGGCACTCACTCCCGGGGTCATGTCGCCCTTTCAGTGTCATACTCTCAGTGTCATCTAGCACCGAGCTTCCAGATTCCCTGGGGACGCCCACGTGTGCACCTGCGCCGGGGGCTCCGGACTCAGACGTGCAACTGCTGCTCAAGAGCTCCGCATGGACAAGGTTCGGGCTCCTCAAACTCCACAACACACTCCACACGGGCCTCGGGACCGCTCCCCAAACCCGCCCTGCCCACAAGCTTGCCATCTCACAGGCAACTCCTGCTGCTAAGGCCCAAACCGACATCCCTCCTCGACTTCTCCCTTTCTCAGCCCCACATCCAGCCAATCAGGGAATCCTGTCAACTCTATGTCAACACACCCCCAGAAGCTGCCCCCTCTCACGCCCCAGTCAAGCCACCTCATCTCAGTGACGGCGTCTGACTGGCCTCCCTGCCACTGCCCTCAACCCCGCCCCTGCTGTCTATTCCCAGTGCGGCACCAGAGTGACCCTGCGGGAACCTGCGGTCATTACTGGAACCTCCCTGCTGCCCTCTCCCCACCCGCTCCCCAGGGACAAGCATGGCCTGGCGACCACCGCCCTCCAGCTGAGGCAGGGTCCAGACTGCGCGGGCGGCCCACAGCCCTCAAAGATGGTCAGTTTCTAAGGGGCAAGGAGCTCAGACCCCACCCTTCTTCTCAAAATTGAACGCCACCCCTCTCCTTGGGGGCTTTGCATGAGTCCCTGCAGACTCCATCCTCAGGCCTGCGTGAGCTTGAGGCGCCTCACGCCCAAGGATGCTTTCCACACCTAGTCCCCAGAAGGGAGAAAGGGGCCCTCGCCCCAGAGGCGGGTAACTGATTTTCCAAAGATGTCATATTTTGATCAGCACTTTCAAAGCATGAAGGGGCTAAACCTGGCACCATGTGCCTCTCTGATGTTCGTCCAACAAACACCGTTCACCCTTAGACCAGGCTGTGGGATTCAGTGCTGACCAGACACGGTCCTGGCCTCAGGAGCCCACTGTCCCTACACATAACCAAAGGAGTCAGCCTGGTGTCCCGGCCACCGTACACCCCACTCCCACCTCACTGGTACCCAGGCAGGTGCTCACCGCCACCCCTCAAGGCAGGCGGGGCAGCAGTATTGACCCCGGGTGACAGATGGAAAAGCAGAGGCCCAGACAGGTCAAAGTGACTTGCCCAAGGTTGTGCCGGAAGTTACTAGCAGAGCCTGGGCTAGAACCAGGGTTTCCAACCCCCTCCCAGGGCTCTTCTGGTTGCTGGAGAAGAGCGCCCTCTCCTGGAGACCAACGATGTGGACAAAGAACCAAAAGATACAGAGGTGGTAGGGGGCGGCTTTCCTATTTAACCACACAATGACTCATGCAACTGTCCACTTTCCATCCGCTCACAGGCAGACATCTGTGAAGCCCTACTTGTGCCAGGCAGGGTCTGAGTCAGGGTTTCAGGGATGAGCCCTTGCACGTGGAACAGAGATGAGCAGCAGAAAGAGGCACCTTTAGTGACAACCATGAACTTGACGATGACAGCGATGAGCACAGAGGCAGGGGTCTCAGGAGACGGAGAGGGTGCGGGGGGGAGGGGGGAGGCAGGGAGACGGTGGGGTTGAGATCTGAACCCCTCCCAAACCACTGAAAATCCCAAGCCTGATGGCGCACATTCAGAAACCACGCCTGGCACCGTGTCAGTGTTCCCTGGATGGATGCCGTTGAACAAACCAGCACAGTCCCCCTGGAGGGTGAAGTGGTTCCAGCTCAGCCGTATGATGGGAACGAAGGGAAAGCAAGGGAGGTCTCGGCTACTGAGAACATGAGCCTACTCACACACTCACACACTCTCACACTCACACTTACACACACTCACACTTAGACACACAGACCCACACCCACACACTCCATCTGAATGAAAGCTGCTCAACAATCCACTGGCTCTATTTTGGCCTGGTGTGAAAAAGCCTTGCAAAGCAACCCTTTTCTTCCATCATATTTTACGTGACAGCTCACAGCATTCCAGGGTTGCTCTAATTGCACGGCCTGAGACACTTTACCTACCAGAATGAGGTCTCCAGGGAACAATTCTGGCCAAGCCGGAGTCTTGGAGAGACAGAGAGAGACCCCACTTGGGGCTCAGGGCCAGAGCTGTCTCTCTCTACATTTCTCTTAAGAAATAATCTTCGGGACTTCCCTGGTGGTGCAGCGGTTAAGAATCTGCCTGCCAACGCAGGGGACACGAGTTCAATCCCTGGACCGGGAAGATCCCACATGCCGCAGAGCAACTAAGCCCGTGCGCCACAACTACTGAAGCCCGCGCACCTAGAGCCCGTGCTCCACGACAAGAGAAGCCACCACGGTGAGAAGCCCGCGCACTGCAATGAAGAGTAGCCCCCGCTCACCGCAACTAGAGAAAGCCTGCGCAGCAACGAAGACCCAACGCAGCCAAAAATAAATAAATAAATAAATAAATTTTTAAAAAAGAAATAATCTTCGTCCTTGCGGTGCTGAGCTGGATCTCTTTGACCTCTTAGCAACTCTGCACCAACCCAGGGCAGTGCAACCAGGAAGGGCTGGTGGCTTTCTTGCCAGCCCTTTTTTTTCTGCCACAAGAGAACTGTCCCCTGGGTCATGGCCATCACAGTGAAGGAAAGGAATGCAGGCCAAGGAGTTGGGAGACTGGTGCTAACCCTGCCTCCAGCTGGTCACAAAACTTCATTAGGCCTCAGTGTCTTCCTCAGGAAAATGGGTCTAATAAAACACACCCTCACCTCCTCACCAGCTGCTCTGAGGACCAGAGGAAAGAGAGGGAAGTTCTTAGAAAACTCAAAAAGCACGGCTCAAAGTTAAAGCATCGTCGTCTATAAAATAAATCTCAATTTGAGACCAAAGGACGTTTTACTTCTCTCCGTGTGGTACCTTCACCTCAGATTTTCCTCAAACTCCTTCTGAAGGGACAGACGGGAGACACATCAGACTGTCTCAAACACAGAACTAACACAGAATTAATGTCACTAGCCAAGGCTAAGGAAAAGTGCCCCTGGCATTAATGATTCTAACAGGACTTCCTTCAGGAGCCCTGACCTTGGTTTCTGTCACAAATATGTTCCCTTTCCAGGCCCAGCAAGAAACACACTCATTCACCCGATGGTGTCACCCCTGTGGGCTGGGGGCCCCCTGGATTCTCCTCAGTCGGGGGGCCCAGCCTTCTCACCTCTATTCCAAACTCATGGAGTGGCTTAGTTCAAAGGATTTTCTCTTTCTTTTTTCCTACTGAGGCATTTTTAAAAATACCCTGAGCACTGTGGGCCCCTCACACACATGGGGTGATCAGGCCCTGACCCAAACTCACTGCCTCTATAGGAATGGAGGAGGCATCACGGGCTGCAGCCCCCAGAGGCCAGGCGGCCTGAAACAGGTCTCGGCAAAGAGAGGCGTCCAGACTGCTACACTGGGGAAGGTCTGTCTCCACGGAAAATGTGTGTGCAGGTTTGGCCCCATGCCCTTCTACAGCCATGACCCGAGTGTGGGATGTCTTCTTGTCCTCTGGGCTCCTCCCCTTACTCAGGCGGGGAATACAAGGGCGAGGACCGTGGCTTCCAGGCCTTATGCTTTCCCCCAGTGGGGCTGCAGACGGGCAAGGGAGGTGAAACTGCCCCCTCTTCCTTGGGCGGCAGTGTGGCACGATGGAGAGGGTCTGATCTGGGAGTCGGGGGCTGGAGTCGTGCTCTCCTCCTGCCATCATCTACCATCTGTGTGTCCTCGGACAAGCCCAGGGCCTCCCTTCCTCAAATGGAGGTAATGTTACAAGCTGCCTTGGTCAGGCACAGGCACACAGGGAGGACTGAGCCAGACTGCGGATGTGAAAATGTACAGTCAGCCTGGCGTGGACACCTCCCAGGCCCCATGTGTCCTTGGCCCCCGGCCTCCAGCAATGGCCTCCAGCAACTCCCAGCCTCCCCTCATGAGCCTCTCCGTCTGCCCTCTCCCGGCCCACCCCCACCCAGTCACCCCCAGACCCTCATCGCCGACTCCAGTGCCATCCGAGTCTGGAGGAACATTAGGGCTTACTGAGTACCTCAACTCGGCTATAGAGAAGCGTCTCCCAAAGCTCCCCCGGGGACAGGTAAATCCAAGGGAAAAGCAAGCACCAGCCCTGCCTTCCTGCCCTCACTGCATCTCGGGGACGGCTCTTTCTGGAAGTACAGCAGTTAATTAACGCAGAGGGAATGAGAGAGCCGGTATTATCAGCATTTTGCAAACCCCCAATGAAATAAGGAATCCAGGGGATGAGCACCAGCAGCTGCCAGGTCAGAGCAGAGGCCACAGGACCTTCCAGGCCCCCGCGGCAGCACACGGCACCACCCGTGACTGTGCCGGCCAAACACCAAGCCAAATCCCATCAAGCCTCTGCTCTACCCATTTACAGGAAGCACGGGAACTGCAACACAGGCTCAACTAAACCCACAGGTGCAATCGGCAAGATCAAGACTGTGGGACGCCCGGGAAGATAAGCTGGTTACGTCATCACATTCACTTCAGGGGAGGAAAGGAAGAGAAATGTTCTAGATTCATTGAGACTTAAGGGCCTCATGAGCCAAATGCCACCCGTGGATCTTGTTTGGGTCCTGCTCCAATTGCAGAAATACGTCGTGAGATCAGTAAGAAAATCTAACACTGACTAGGTATTGGAGGATGAGAAATCACTGTCGTTTTAGGTGTGGTAGTGGCGTTATGATGGTCTTTTCTTTTTTTGGCCACGCCGCAGCTTGCGGGATCTTAGCTGCCCAACCAGGGATCGAACCCGTGACCCCTGCAGTGGAAGCACAGCATCCTAACCCCTGGAGCACCAGGGAAGTCCCTATGATGGTCTTTTTTTAAAAGATCGCTTCTTTGATGGATATGCTGAAATATTTATAGAGGAAGTAATATGAGGTCTGGGACTTGTTTCAAAATAATCCAGTTGGGGTAGTGGGTGACACTGGTAGGGCTTCAGATGAAATAAGACTGGCCCTGATTCCTGAAGCTGGGAGGTGGGCACACAAGGGTCTGTGAAATTATTCTCCCTACTTTGAATTGTTCTGTTTGAAATTCTCCAAAATAATTTGAAAAAACAAGTTCCTATTTTTCAACTCAGTCAATAACCCTACTTCTAAGAATCAGCCTATAAAACAAGCCACATGGATGAAAAAGCAGCATGCGCTGTGAGGCTCATGGTACCATCACCTGCCCAGAGAACAACAGGAAGCAATCTCATGGGCCACCTCCACAGGAAGAGCAGGTGATGCTGCAGTACAGCCACTTAACCAGGTATTATGCTGACATTACACAGGATGATGTAGAGGCTCTTCAACAGACAGGCTAAAGTGTCCACGAGCTCAAACTATTAATGAGCCTCTCCTCATTCTACTAGAATATAAGCTCAGTGAAGCTTCACTCACTGCTCCATCCCCAGACACAGGACAGGTGCTCAGTAAGCATGTGCTGACTGAGCACATGTTTAAATGAAAGAAAGTCATCCAGGTGAATAAGCAGGACAGCTTGTGTACACAGCGCGATCACCACCCCCGTGAGAGGAAGTGAGCGCACAGGCACAAAGACCAGAAAGAGAAGGCAAAACTGAAACCATCCCTGGGAGGCTGGGTAATGGTCTAATATCATTTCCAAAACCACAAACAAGCTACAAACAGTCCTCATCGCTGTTGTGTGACTTCGCCGTGCAGACGGAGACTTAGACACACGCTGAGCCCTCCCTTCCGCTCCACGACAGAGCAGCAACCCCACATTCTCCCGCTCCTCTCCACCAAGGGCCCTGAAATAGCTTTACTGCTGGCAGAAGTGCACTCGCCAAGTTCCAGGAGCCGTTTTCTTAATTGCTTGTGATTAAGGTGTAAGCTGACTGCTGGACCTGGCAGGGCCAGGGAAGGGAAATGCACAGTTTGGGGGATCTGGGGTGCAGGGCAGGAAGCTGAGGAGCGCGTGCTGCTGACTGTCTCAGAACCCCAAGGCTGTGGGATCCTGGGAGGAAACCTTCTGATGGGAAGAATGTGGACAGGACCTGGAAAGTTCCCAGGCAAATGAAGCCCATGTAGGCGATACACCCCCAACCTGAGCCTGGGCTCAGGTCCATTCCCATTCAGAGGTCCTGGGTGTCCAACCAGGCGAACGAGAGTCACCTGCACATGCAGCACCCGGCCTGCTCTGAGCAGACAACTGCAGGCTCCACCGGAGAGCACCCGGGGGCTTCCGGCTTGAAACCAGAGGGCAGGGGTCTAAATAAACAGCCAGGTACCAGGGGTGAGACATGGCTGCCAATTTCCAGAGGCGTCAGTCCATCAGAGGGAAAGGATAGAGGAAGCAGCTGCCTCTGGAGCCTCAGCAAGCCCACCACAGCCCACCAGGGCAACATGGACTGAGACCTGGGGTCAAGGGCATCGTGGTCAGGGGAGGGGCTCGGGGCTGGGAGTGAGGATCTTTGCCTCTCATCCCTGATCTGCCATCAACTCACGTGGGGCCCTGGGCAGTCCGCTCTCCTGCTCATCTGTAAACAGAGAGGTCACATGCTCTCTAAGTCCCCTTGGCACTAAAATCTGAGAGTCTGTTCAGGGGGTTTGATCTAGGAAGAACATCACAGGACACTGTGCCCTACAATGATCCTTGGGATCTCCCATTTTCGAACATTTACTGTGTCCTTCCCACACACAGCCCTGCGAGGAAGCACCATTAATCCAGCCTGTAGGCGGGGGGACAAAGGTAGTCAGAGAGGATGAAGATGGCCCTGTACGAACCCAGCGCCTTCCAGAGCCCACATCCTTGTTCCTTCCACCAGTCAACCCAGGACAATCTAACCTGCTTCCTTCCCATCCACACGGGGATTGACGGTCATAATTAAGTCCATTCCAGGGTCCACACACACACACCTAGCTGGCCAGATGCCCCTTCAAATCTGGAGGCAGCTGGGACAGCTCAGATCACCCTGACCTCAGGCAGGACAGGGGCTCTGGGTCCAGTCAGGCCAGGGCGAGTGCAGGGTGACCCTGAAGGAGGCATTCTGCCTTTCCGACTAAAGTAAACAGTGGCCTCGTCGCAATTCCCAAATGTAGGTCTATGACCAGTCTCACAACTCCACAGGAATTTAGAAATATAAATATTTTCAAGGACTGCCCTCTATTCTGAGAACACCCACCCTACTTTTCTGGTACTAAAATATCCTTTCTTTTCTAAAATGCCAACCATGTTAGATGGTAGTTGGGGTTTTTTAATTTTTGCTTCTTTACTTCCTTCCTTCCTTTAAAATGAACACATTTAACAAGGCTACATATTGGCAACCCTTGAAAGATCCTTCCCTTTGTTAACACTGGTCTGTGAAACCTGGGCTAGGAATAAGGTCTTTGGATTCTTTCTTTGTTCTCTAACAGCACTTCCAGGCTGGAAGGCATCACATGCCTTCCACCACATGCGCCACAACTACTGAGCCTGAGCTCTAGAGCCTACAAGCCACAACTACTGAAGACTGCATGCCACAACTACTGAGGCTTGCGTGCCTAGAGCCCGTGCTCCACAACAAGAGAAGCCACTGCAATGAGAAGCCCGCACACCACAGCGAGGAGTGGCCCCCGCTCGCCACAACTAGAGCAAGCACCTGCACAGCACCGAAGACCCAATGCAGCCAAAAATAAATTAATTAATTAAATTTTTTTAAGAAAATGGCAATCCCCAAACTGATTCCCTGCCTCTTCATAGCTGACTCTGACAGCAAGAGCGCCCCGCACACTCTCCCCTCCCTCTTGGATCTGCTTGACCCCCACTCAGGGACCTTAGGGACGCCCATCCACTCCACTCTCTGCCAGAGCACCCAGACACGACCTCCTAGAGGGGCAGAGAGATGCACAGTCTCCCATGCAGGGAGCGAGGACTCCAGACCCCATTTCACCCACAAAAGTTCTCAGTGACCAGCTAAGAAGCCACAGAATCATCTGGGCTACAGCTATAATGGATGGCTAAAATCAAAAAGGACAATCACCAGGGACTTCCCTGGCGGTCCAGTGGTTAGGACTCTGCACTTTCACTGCTGAGGGTGTGGGTTCAATCCCTGGTCAGGAAGGGACCTAAGATCCCACAAGCCACGCAGCCTGGCCAAAAAAATAAATAAATTTTTTTAAAAAGGACAATCACCAGTGTTAGCGAGGTTGTGGAGAAATTGGAATCTTTACACACTGCTGATGGGAATATAAAATGGTGCAGCCACTTTGGAAAACAGTCTGGCAGTTCCCCAAAAGATTAACCCTAAAGTTATAATATGACCCAACAATTCCACTCCTATGTATATTGAAAACACGTCCACACAAATACTTATACATGAATGCTCATAGCAGCTTTATATTCATAATAGCGAGAAAACGTAAACAACCCAATGTCCGTCAACTGATGAAAAGATAAACAAAATGTGATATATGCACACAACAGAATAGTATTCAGTCATAAAAAGGAGTGAAATACTGATACATGCTACAATGTGGATAAACCTCAAAAACAGTATGCTAAGTAAAAGAAGCCAGTCACAAAGGTCCAAATATTGTATAATTCCATTTATATGAAACGTCCAGAACAGGCAAATCCCCAGAGACCGAAAGTAGGTCGGCAGTTGCCCAGGGCTTGGAGAGGGGGAAATGGGGAACGACTACTAATGGGTACAAGAGGTTTCTTTTTGGGATGATGAAAATGTTCTAAAGTTGACTGTGGTAACGATGGTTACACAACTCTGTGAATATACTAAAAACCATTGCGTTGCACACTTTAAATAAGTGACTTGTGTGGTGTGTGAGTTACATCTCAATAAAGCTGTTATAAAAAGGAGCGAGCAGACATTACAGTGGCAGAAGCCGCAGTGCGGGCCCCGCCCAGGGGCACCAGCAACATGTAGGAGCTTGCTAGACGCCCAGACCTACAGAATCAAAAGCCGGGGGGTGGGCCCAGCAATATGCATTTTAACAAGTCCTCCAGGTGATCCTGAATCTCACTAAAGTTGGGGACCCCTGCTTAGAGTATGTGATACTTAACCTTGACTGTACTTTGGAATCACCTAAGTTACTTTAAGAAAAGCTCCATGCCCCAGCCCCCATAGCAGACCAACTAAATCAGACTCTCTGGGGATGGAGCTCAGGCATGGGCCTGTTTTAAAGCTCCGAGGTGAATCGACTGCGCAGCCAGGGTGAGAAGAACTGGATTAGAGGGTGTCTTGGGCCCCCCCTCCTCTTCAGCTCTTTTGAGAGTTTGACCCCAGCTCGCTGGTGCCACCTGGTGGCCACATTGGGGAATGACTCTACATCTTCCTTCTGCCCCGGACCCTTATCCCTCCATCACCAACACCAGGAAGCCCAGGAATGGGGCTCAGGGATTCCCCTCCTCCCACTGCAGAGGTTAGCACCATCCTAGTCTTTGGAACTGAGATGACGGAGCTGGCCTGGCGGGGAGGGGGCGAGAGTCCTCTACTGGCTCTGCTTCCATTAAAACACCCCACACCCCAAAGGCAGCCAGAGCATCTACTGCTGAACATAGCCCCAACCACACCACCCTTCCCTCCCGCTGCCAACAAAGTAGAGCTAACTCACCCACCCAGCCTCATCTCTGACAACTTCCAACACAACTGTGTTCACGGGCACCGAAGCACCTTCACTGCTTCTGAACTCGCTTCGCAACTTTCAGCCTCCTGGCCTTCGCCCAGGCGCTCCCTCCCGCCTGAAGTGCCTTCGCCTGGCTCTCATTACTTCGGGATTGTTCAAGGCCAGCTCTGTGGGACCTCTCCTCTCTTCCCAAGGCTCACGTCCCCTTGATGCTCCCTGCTGCACCCTCGGTGTGCCCCACAATGAACATCCATGGCTGCAGAGCTCAGAGGAGGGGAGGGCCTATCACCTTTGGGGGGGCAGGGGTGCAGTCCCTAAATTGCCTAAAGGCAGTGAAGAGCTAGCAGGGCCGGAAGGAAGGGGCTGTGGAGAGGGGGACTCTGACAGAGTGTGGTCAGTGTGGGGAGAGGGCCTATGGGTGCTCTGAAGCAGGGCTAGGCATCCTATTTCAACTACTCGGGCCTCCAGCTACAGAGAGAAATGGAAGCGTCAGTTCTCCGCTCTCTCAGGGCGTCCTGAAAGGAGCTCAGGCTCTCAGTTCACTGCTGCCACCTGGTGGCAGAATACAAGACCACCATGAGTGAGACCCACAGGCAACTCCAAAGGGGATATACAATGGAGCTGCTGGCCCTGGGGAAAATGAGCCCATCTTCTAAAGCTCAGCCAAGTCCATTTTCTGAAACTCCTTAACTCCTTTCCCCACACCAAATTTGGCAGCCCTTCCAAGTGACCTCTGACCTTGGGCATAGCCTGACCCCAGATGGCCTGCCTCTAGCCCAACACCCTTTTTCCCAGCCATGGTCTGATCGATGACCCTAAGCAAAGGTTGGCCTGGATCAGCCATTCACAACATGTGCCAGGTGCAGGCTGCGCATGGGGCTGGCTTGGAGCTGCCTCTTCTCTGCAGGGGCCACAGGCAGAAGCTGACCTTGGGGACTGCTGGCCCACAGCAGAGAGCACAAGGCCGGCACCCAGAGGGGCGCTCCCTCACTTCAGGCTCAGTCTCCTCGGCTCCCCCCACAGCTGCTCCCTCCCACTCCAGCACCCTCTCCTTCTCCAGCAGCCAAGCAAGTTCACTGGGCCAGAGAAGAACAAGAACAGGTCAGCATGCTCAACACAGAGGCCAGAGGCCAGAGTCTGATGCCCAGAGCAGCCCGGTGGGTTACATGGCCGCACCAGCTGGGCCCCATGTGACAGAGCATGGGGAACCACAGCCGACTGGAGGGCACATTTTTTCTAGATAGGCTAAAAATCTGAATGTTTATATGAAATCTGGACTTCTTTAGAAAACTCCTGATTTGGATTATTGAATGCCCAGTCCCTCAGGCAGCATCAGCTGTGAAAACACTGAACGGCTTCCCTGCCGGATATTAAACAGCCACTCTCCAGGACCCATCTACCAACCTGCCTCTTGCCCAGGATCCCCAGGGCCCCCATGGCCCAGAAACCGGAGGGTGAATGCCTGGCACCACAGGGATCTAGGACAGGGTGCTCCTCTGACCGGTCACATCCTTGACGGGTCCCAGAGCCGCAGCAGCTGCTAAATACCCTGAACCTCACCCCCGCACACACCCCACCGAGCACTCTGGAACGTAGCTGGGACAAGCCGGGGCTGGACGTATTTCCATGTCAGGGATCACCTCCGCTTCCAGAAGGTGAAGAGACCGAGAGCCCCTGCAGGTCCTGTGGGGCCCCCAGCCCTCACACCCACGGTGGCCGCCTCCTGGGCTGTACACGTGGGGACGGCACCCGGGCCAGGGCCGAGGCTCACCTGGCGGTAGGTGCAGATGATGATCTCCCGCAGGTGGTAGTGCATGGGCGTCATGGTCTCACTGACCGTGTCCAGTGCTGCGTCCACCTCCTTCTTCACGCGGTGCCCATCAGGCAGCAGCTGCACCACCTTCATCACCACCTGGGACCAGAGGAGGGGGATGAGCAGAGAGAAGACCAAGGTGGGGGGGCCCTCCAGCCCCGGCAACAGGTTCACCCACACCAAGGGCTGCACTGGCTTCAAGGCCCAGGCCCTGACCACTCCTTGCTTCTCAGATGGGGGCGGGGAACAAGGGCGTTCCTCCGTATCTCTGAGGCCAGGGCTCCCGAGGTGCTTATTTTTTAAGCAGCAGGAACCTTGCTTCAAACGAAGCCTTATCCAGGACTCTAACCCATAAAACAGCTGTCATGTAACTGGGGCTGGCGGGGCAAGGGGGGGATACAGGACAGGCCTATGCTGGGGCCTCGCTGGCTCTCCCTCCACCTGGCAGCAGCCCCCAGACACTTCGGAAACACCCAGCTCTGAGGAACCCAGTGTGGACACCGCTCATCTGAAGTAAGCCCCCCTTTACTCGGGGAAACTGAGGCCCGTTAAGGTCACTCTGCAGGGCAGGGCTCCTCCCCGCAGTCACCCTCCCGACCACGCCCCTGCGGACCCCCCTCTGGATGTGCCTACCCTGCAACCCCTGCGCCAGCACCAACCCAAGCCTCCAGCACCTCCCACCCCCACTTCAGCAGCCCCTCCTTCTCCTCGCTGGTAGCCAGAGAGGCCATAGTGTGAGCACATCCTGTTTGTGTAATTCCTGGGCTTCAGTCTCTTCCTGGCTCCCTGGCACTCAACATAAAAACCGAAAGCTTCCCCAGGTCTACAAGGTCCCCCAGTGCCTGACCCCACCTGCCTCCCAGCCTCCCTCATAACCGCCCCCCCCCAGGGCTCCAACGCCTTGCTGGAGCCCCCTGAGTCACCCCAACAGCCCGCACGGTCCTTTCAGAGCCCCGAAGTCGACCTCCACCTACTCATCCATCCCATCCATCCGTGTCCCCACTTGTTCACATCTGCTCCCCACCAGACAAGAAGCTCCCTAATCCCCGAGAGCAATAGCTTTTCCACCTAGGAGGTGCCCCGTGGACGATGCTAAATGAACGAAAGACCAAAACCCTACCCAACTCAGCTCTTCTCTCAATCTGACCCATCTCCACGACTGGGCCCTAGCGGGATCGTGGCAGGAAGGGCGCTCCCTCACCCCTGCATTTCTCAAAAGGAACTGGCCCAGGGCCGGCACACCGGCAGGGGTGGAGCTACAGCCCAGTGGGAGAGGAGGACCCATCACCTGGGAGGACCCTCGGCTAATCCGGCTCAGGCCACACCCGGATCCCAAGCTCTGGGTTGGACATCTCGCTTAAGAGGAGTGTGGACCACAGGCAGGTCCCCAGGATGGCCCAGGGGCAGTTCCCCAGGCAGAGGGCTGCAGCTTTTTCAAATGCAACAAACCAAACTCCTGGCCTCTACCCCTAAATTGCTCCTCCCCTTGAATTCTTCATCTCCTTGGCTGTCACCAGCGCCAGCCAGAAACCTGAGGTCATCCTGGGTGTCTTCCCTCTTTGCCTCACAACCAATGGCCCCCAAGACCAGCCAATGGTGACTGGACTCCTGTTCACCGGGCGGCCCCCGCCTCACTCAGGCCCCAGGCTCTCCTCTCCACACCCTCCTCCACATACTGGCCTCCAGAATGAGAATCTGATCACGACCTCCCCTACTTTTCTGCTGGCCCCAAGGTTAAGGTCAAATACACAGTGTGGTCTTCCAGGGTCCTCACAGTCAGGGCCCCCACCTCAGCCCTGCCTCCTTCCATTCTGGCCAACTGCAGCCTTCCACAGGTCCTGCCCCTTCCAGACTCCCTCCTTTGCACATTTGAGCCCCTCTGAACACTATCCCTCCCCCGAGCCCCAGGAGACTCACTCATCTTTCTAAAATGCACTCAAATGTCACCTCCTCCACGAAGCCCTCTTGGGCTCCCCCAGCTGCACCTTCAGCGCTCAGAACCAATGTCTATTTCAGCATTCTTCACAGTCTACTGAATGTTCCCCACTGGACTGTGGGCACAATAGGCCTGAATTAATTACAAAGGAATCTGGTCTAGACATGAGCATGTCTTGGGGTGGGTAAGGATGGGGATACAGAGGCATCCTTGGGTCACATGATGTAACTTTAGAACACAGATTCAGAGGTCAACTACCTGGCTTGTGCCCTGACCCCATCACCTCTATGACGTGGTTCTAGGGTGATGAGCTTGGCTCCCAGCACCTCAGTTTCCTCATCTATCAACTGGGAGTAGTAAGGGCACCTAACTCTTGGGAGCTGTGAAGGGTGAAAAAGGGAGCACACACAGAGCTCCTGGCACAGGACTGGGTGTGAGTAGAGAGAGTTCTAACTATCACATCTGAGGGACCGACGTGTAGACTTGGAAATAAACCCTCATGTATACGGTCAAATGAACTTTGCCAAACCATTCGACGGGGAAGGGACATTCTTTTCAACAAATGGTGCTGGGAAAACTGGATATCCACATGAAAAAGAATGAACTTGGACCCTTACTTTATACCATACACAAGAATTAATTCAGACAGAAAGATAGACAAGAACAAAAGGCAGAGGGCTGCATACCAGATAAATGAACAAGATAAAACCCCAGAAAAACAACTAAATGAAGTGGAGATAGGCAACCTTCCAGAAAAAGAATTCAGAATAATGATAGTGAAGATGATCCAGGACCTCGGAAAAAGAATGGAGGCAAAGATCAAGAAGATGCAAGAAATGTTTAACAAAGACCTAGAAGAATTAAAGAACAAACAAACAGAGATGAACAATACAATAACTGAAATGAAAAATACACTAGAAGGAATCAATAGAATAAATGAGGCAGAAGAATGGACAAGTGACCTGGAAGACAGAATGGTGGAATTCACTGTCATGGAACAGAATAAAGAAAAAAGAATCAAAAGAAATGAAGACAGCCTAAGAGACCTCCGAGACAACATTAAAGGCAACAACATTCACATTATACGGGTCCCAGAAGGAGAAGAGAGAAAGGACCCGAGAAAATATTTGAAGAGGTTATAGTCAAAAACGTGCCTAACATGGGGAAGGATGTAGCCACCCAAATCCACGAAGTACAGAGAGTCCCAGGCAGGATAAACCCAAGGAGAAACACACCGAGACACACAGTGGTAATCAAACTGACAAAAATTAAAGACAAAGAAAAATTATTGAAAGGAGCAAAGGAAAAAAGACAAATAACATACAAGGGAACTCCCATAAGGTTAACAGCTGATTTCTCAGCAGAAACTCTACAAGCCAGAAGGGAGTGGCATGACACATTTAAAGTGATGAAAGGGAAGAACTGACAACCAAGATTACTCTACCCGGCAAGGATCTCATTCAGATTCAATGGAGAAATCAAAAGCTTTACAGACAAGCAAAGGCTAAGAGGATTCAGCACCACCAAACCAGCTCTACAACAAATGCTAAAGGAACTTCTCTAAGTGGGAAACACAGAGAAGAAAAGGACCTACAAAAACAAACCCAAAACAATTAAGAAAATGGTAATAGGAACACACATATCGATAATTACCTTAAACGTGAATGGATTAAATGTCCAACCAAAAGACACAGGCTCGCTGAATGGATACAAAAACATGACCCATATAAATACTGTCTACAAGAGACCCACTTCAGACCTAGGGACACATACAGACTGAAAGTGAGAGGATGGAAAAAGATACTCCATGCAAATAGAAATCAAAAGAGAGCTGGAGTAGCAATACTCACATCAGATAAAAGACTTTAAAATAAACAACGTTACAAGAGGCAAGGAAAGACACTACATAATGATCAAGGGATCAATCCAAGAAGAAGATATAACAATTATAAATATATATGCACCCAACATAGGAGCACCTCAATACATAAGGCAACTGCTAACAGCTATAGAAGTGGAAATCGACAGTAACACAATAATAGTGGGGGACTTTAACATCTCACTTACACCAATGGACAGATCATCCAAACAGAAAATTAATAAGGAAACACAAGCTTAGACCAGATAGATTTAATTGATATTTATAGGACATTCCATCCAAAAACAGCAGATTACACTTTCTTCTCAAGTGTACACGGAACATTCTCCAAGACTGATCACACCTTGGGTCAAAAATCAAGCCTCAGTAAATTTAAGAAAATTGAAATCATATCAAGCATCTTTTCTGACCACAATGCTATGAGATTAGAAATCAATTACAGGGAAAAAAACGTAAAAAATACAAACACATGGAGGCTAAACAATACGTTACTAAATAGGATCACTGAAGAAATCAAACAGGAAATCAAAAAATACCTAGAGACAAATTACAACGAAAACATGATGATCCAAAACCTATGGGACCTATGGGATGCAGCAAAAGCAGTTCTAAGAGGGAAAAAGAAACAAGAAAAATTTCAAATAAGCAATCTAACCTTACACCTAAAGGAACTAGAGAAAGAAGAACAAATAAAACTCAAAGTTAGTAGAAGGAACGAAATCATAAAGATCAGAGCAGAAATAAATGAAATAGAAACAAAGAACACAATAGCAAAGATCAATAAAACTAAAAGCCGGTTCTTTGAGAAGATAAACAAAATTGATAAACTATTAGCCAGACTCATCAAGAAAAGGAGGGAGAGGACTCAAATCAATAAAAATAGAAATGAAATAGGAGAAATTAAAACAGACACCACAGAAATACAAAGCATCCTAAGAGACTACTACAAGCAACTCTATGCCAACAAAATGGACAACCTGGAAGAAACAGACAAATTCTTAGAAAAGCCAACCTTCCGAGACTGAACCAGGAAGAGATAGAAAATATGAACAGGCCAATCACAAACACTGAAATTGAAACTGTGATAAAAAATCTTCCAACAAACAAAAGCCCAGGGCCAGACAGCTTCACAGGTGAATTCTGTCAAACATTTAGAGAAGCGCTAACGCCCATCCTTCTCAAACTCTTTCAAAAAACTGCAGAGGAAGGAACACTCCCAAACTCATTCTACGAGGCCACCATCACCCTGATACCAAAACCAGACAAAGATAATACAAAAAAAGAAAATTACAGACCAATATCACTGATGAATACAGATGCAAAAATCCTCAACAAAATACTAGCAAACAGAATCTAACAACATATTAAAAGGATCATACACCATGATCAAGTGGGATTTATCCCAGGGATGCAAGGACTCTTCAATATACGCAAATCAATCTGATACACCATACTAGCAAATTGAAGAATAAAAACCATATGATCATCTCAGTAGTTGCAGAAAAAGCTTTTGACAAAATTCAACATTCATTTATGATAAAAGCTCTCCAGAAAGTGGGCATAGAGGGAACCTACCTCAACATAATAAAGGCCATATACAACAAACCCACAGCAAACATCATTCTCAATGGTGAAAACCTGAAAGCATCTCCTCTAAGATCAGGAAAAAGACAAGGATGTCCATTCTCGCCACTATTACTCAACATAGTTTTAGAAATCCTAGCCATGACAATCAGAGAAGAAAAAGAAATAAAAGGAATACAAATTGGAAAAGAAGAAGTAAAACTGTCACTCTCTGCAGATGACATGATACTATACATAGAGAATCCTAAAGATGCCACCAGAAAACTACTAGACCCAATCAATGAATTTGGTAAGGTTGCAGGATACAAAATTAACGCACAGAAATCTCGTGCATTCCTATACACTAATGATGAAAAATCTGAAAGAGAAATTAAGGAAACACTCCCATATACCACTGCAGCAAAAGGAAAAAAATACCTAGGAATAAACCTACCTAAGGAGACAAAAGACCTGTATGCAGAAAACTATAAGACACTGATGACAGAAATTAAAGATGATACAAACAGAGGGAGAGATATACCATGTTTTTGGATTGGAAGAGTCAATATTGTGAAAATGACTATACTAACCAAAGCAATCTACAGATTCAATGCAATTCCTGTCAAATTACCAATGACATTTTTTACAGAACTAGAACAAAAGATCTTAAAATCTGTACGGAGACACAAAAGACCCCAAATAGCCAAAGCAATCTTGAGGGAAAAAAACGGAGCTGGAGGAATCAGACTCCCTGACTCCAGACTATACTACAAAGCTACAGTAATCAAGACAATAATGGTATGGCACAAAAACAGAACTATAGATCAATGGAACGGGCTAGAAAGCCCAGAGATAAACCCATGCACCTATGGTCAACTAATCTATGACAAAGGAGGCAAGGACATACAATGGAGAAAAGACAGTCTCTTCAATAACTGGTGCTGGGAAAACTGGACAGCTACATGTAAAAGAATGAAATCAGAACACTCCCGAATACCATACACAAAAATAAACTCAAAATGGACCTAAATGTTAAGACTGGACACTATAGGGCTTCCCTGGTGGCGCAGTGGTTGAGAGTCCGCCTGCCGATGCAGGGGACACGGGTTCGTGCCCCGGTCGGGGAGGATCCCACGTGCCGCAGAGCGGCTGGGCCCGTGAGCCATGGTCGCTGAGCCTGCGCGTCCGGAGCCTGTGCTCCGCAGCGGGAGAGGCCACAACAGTGGGAGGCCCGCATACCACAAAAAAAAAAGACTGGACACTATAAAAGTCTTAGAGGAAAACATAGGAAGAACACTCCGTGACATAAATCACAGCAAGATCTTTTTTGATCCACCTCCTAGAGTAATGGAAATAAAAACAAAAATAAACAAATGGGACCTAATGAAACTTAAAAGCTTCTGCAAAGCAAAGGAAACTGCAAACAAGACGAAAAGACAACCCTCAGAATGGGAGAAAATATTTGCAAACGAATCAACAGACAAAGGATTAATCTCCAAAATATATAAATAGCTCATGCAGCTCAATATTAAGAAAACAAACAACCCAATCCAAAAATGGGCAGAAGACCTAAATAGACATTTCTCCAAAGAAGACATACAGGTGGCCAAGAAGCACATTAAAAGCTGCTCAACATCACTAATTATTAGAGAAATGCAAATCAAAACTACAATGAGGTATCACCTCACACCAGTTAGAATGGGCATCATCAGAAAATCTACAAACAACAAATGCTGGAGAAGGTGTGGACAAAAGGGAACCCTTTTGCACTGTTCGTGGGAATGTAAATTGATACCGCTGCTATGAAGAACAGTATGGAGGTTCCTTAAAAAACTAAAAATAGAATTAACAGATGACCCAGCAATCCCACTACTGGGCATATACCCTAAGAAAACCATAATTCAAAAAGACACATGCACCCCAATGTTCACTGCAGCACTATTTACAATAGCCAGGTCATGGAAGCAACCTAAATGCCCATCGACAGACGAATGGATAAAGAAGATGTGGTACATATATTCAATGGAATATTACTCAGCCATAAAAAGGACTGAAATTGGGTCATTTGTAGAGACGTGGATGGATCTAGAGAAAAACAAATATTGTATATTAACGCATATATGTGGAACCTAGAAAAATGGCACAGATGAACCGGTTTGCAGGGCAGACATAGAGACACAGATGTAGAGAACAAATGTATGGACACCAAGGAGGGAAAGTGGTGGTGGTGGGGTGATGAATTGGGAGATTGGGATTGACATATATACACTAATATGTATAAAATGGATAACTAATAAGAACCTGCTATATAAAAAAATAAATAAAATTAAACTAAAAACATAAAATTAATTCAAAATGGATCAAAGACCTCAATGTAAGAGCTAAAACCATAAAATTCTTAGAAGAAAAGCTTCATAACATTGCATTTAGCAATGACTCTTTGGATATGACACCAAAAGCACAGGAAACAAGAAAAAACAGACAAATTGATTTTCATCAAAATTAAAAATTTTTGCAGGAAAGGACACTATCAATAGAGTAAAAAGGCAACCCACCGAGCTATCACGTATCTAACAAAAGATTGATATCCAGAATATATAAAGAGTTCCTACAACTCAACAATAACAAAACAACGCAAATCAAAAATGCGCAAAGAATTCAAATAGGCATTTCTCCAAGGAAGATACAAAAATGGCCATAAAACAAATGAAACAATGTTCAACATCACTAGTCGGTGGGGAAATTCAAATCAACACCACAGTGAGATGTCACTTCATACCTACTAGGAAGGCTTTTATCAAAAAAAAAAAAAAAAAAAAAAAAAAAAAAAAAGACCGGCTTTTAAAAAAAAAAAAAAAAAAAAAAAAAACAGAAAACAACAAGTGTTGGCAAGAATGTGGAGGAACTGGAACCCTTGTGCTTTGCTGGTAGGAATGTATATGGTGCAGCTGCTGTGTAAAACAATATGGCAGTTCCTCAAAATTTAAACAGTGAATTACCGGTTGATCCAGTGATTCCACTTCTGGAATTGAAAGCAAAGACTCAAACAGATATGTGTACACCCATGTTCACAGCAGCGTGATTCACAGTAGCCCAAGGGTGAAGACAACCTAAGTGCCCACGGACAGATGAATGGATAAACAAAATGTGGTCAATACTTACAATGGAATGCTACTCAGCCTTTTAAAAACACAAATTGTGACACATGCTACACCACGGATAAAACTGGATGCTATTATGCTAAGTGCAATAAGCCAGTCACAAAAGGACAAATACTGTATGATTCTCCTCACATGAGGTATGTAAAATAGTCAAATTCATAGAGATAGAAAGTGGAATGGTGGCTGCCAGGGGCTAGGGGAAGGGAGATGGGGAGTTAGTGTTTAATGGATAGGGTCAATGTGGCCTAAGGAAAAAGTTCTGGAGATGGTGGTGATGGTTGCACAATAATGTGAATGTACTTAATGCCACAGAACTGTACACTGAAAAACGGTTAAAATGGTAAATTTTGTGTTATGTATATTTTACCACAATAAGAAGTTAAAAAGAAAAGAATCAGTGAATCAGCCAGAAGAAGGAAGAAAGAAGTGGTCCAGGGCAAGGGAAAGGCATATGCAAAGGCCCAGAAGCTGAAAGCGCTTGGTGAGTTTGAGGAGCTGCAATGGAGGCCAGGGTGTCAGGACAGTAGGGACGGCAGGGGAGGGGCACTGGCCAGGCCGGCCAGGTAGGCAGGAGCCGACCACAACACCGACACCGGGCAGCCACGTGCCAACTCTGAGTTCCACATGCCCCATGTGTAAGACGGGGACACTGCCACCTACTTACAGGGTGTCAGGGAAGATTACAAGAGGCACATGAGGTGCAATACATGGGTGGCTAAATGTGAGATGTTAGCACTGTCCATCCAGTGCCCTGAATTGAAATGGGGGTGGGGTGGGGCGGTCCGGGGCCCAGCACCAGGGTCACCAACCACAGCTGGGTCCCAGGTGCCTGTGAGGTGGTCATCAGTGTTACCCAGACAAGATGGTGGCCAGTAGCCCAGCAGCAGGGCCAGGAGGAGTCGGGGGGATCCACCCCCTCTTCTCCAAACACCATCTGCCTGGGCCCAGAGACAAGCTACCCTGTGCCCTGGTTTGCTCATCTGTGAAATGGGGACAGGGAAGGACTGATACGATGAGGTGGAATGAGGTAATGGCCTTAGGGGGAGCTTTGAAGATCTCCCCCCGCCACCTGCCAGCAAGACTCACCCCTCCCCTCCCCCAGGTGTCCCCTGGGGACCCCACGGGGCATGCTCACCTCAAATTCGCCCTTGGTGAACTTGGCATCGGGCACGCTCACGAGCTCCTCCTCGCCCACCTCGGGGAAGCCCTAAGGGAGGACAGTTGCTGGGACCGGGAGCATGGCTACCAGACCACACCCTCCCCCAGCTCTGCCCACAGCTGGAGCCCGTGCCGGGGGTCTGCCAGCCCACGCGCCGTCTGCCCAGGGCTGATGAGAGGGGGCTCTGGGACCACACCTTCCTGCCACAGCCAGGGTCCCCAGGGACCAAATGCCCACCCTGCCTGGGCAGACCCCTGTCCTCACACAAGAGGCCACACATACTCGGATGTGCCAGAAGGCAAGCACAGCCACCACCATGGCGGTCGTGGTCCGGCCCTGGCCGCTGAGGCAGCTGAACACGAAGCCAGTACCCGGGTCCTTGGCGAGGGCAGCCTGCAGGGTCCCCAGCAGCCGGTCAAAATCCTGCACAGGGAGACCGAGGTCTGAGTCAGTGGGTACTCCCAGCTGCACAGATTCCCAAGATGGCCCATCCCTCCAAATGGCAACCCCGGCAGCTGTCCTGGGAGTGCTTGCTCTGAGCCTGGCTGTGTCAGGCTCACAACCTTGTACGCACATACACTCAGCTCACTGCAGTACACACCAGACCACGTGCACGTAAACAGCCACACTCCCATATAACCAGGCACTGGATGTATGAGCAGACACGGGCACACCCCTGAGGTTCCCGGTGCCCACCATCTGCCAAGCAGAACAAGCACATCCCTATATGCTGTGCCCCCAGGCTGCACGTGGACCCCCCGCCCTGCTGCCCACCTGAGGTGGACCCAACCCAGATCCCAGTTTGAGGGCAGTCCCGACCTCAGCCAATCACTGCAGCGCGAGACCACTAGGGGGCAACAAACTACAGGCAGCCAGACCCACAGAGCAAAGTGAGGGGGCCATACAAGCCCCATCACCACCCATCTCACAGACAGACACAGGCGCATCACCCAAAGAATTGACACATCACACAGGCACACAGCGACCCCCACACAATACATGCCAGGCACACACACCACACAAAGACCCACAGACCGTACACCCATTCACAGGCATAAACCTATAGATACCACATGCACACAGAACTCCCTCAGTCACACACAGCATTCTCCAGCGCCCTCCTCCACAAACCCCCTACACACACCACACCACACAGCTCCCCACCAGACACGCTCTCCACGTGTCCCCCGGCAAAGACAAGTGGCACAGCACAGCCTCCACAGACACAGACATACCACACACTCTCCAAAACCACACCCACAGACATGCTCACCGACCCCACACATACCTACAACACATAATACACATACACACAGGCGCGCATGCACACACACACAAAGCTTGGCAGGCATGTGAATAAACGGCCTAGGCCAACCTGAAACCCTGCAGAACAAGCTTAGTCCCCCTGGGGAGCTGCGCCCACAGCCAAGGCCCAGGCCCGAGGGAGGCGGGGGGGGGGGGGGGGCGCC